TAATGATGGTGTGGGAAATTCATAAACACACATTTTTCTCCCCTCCCAGATTTTCATAAGTCATTCAAAACACTACCATCTCACTGAGAAATATGCGCCTCAATGCCAGGAGATGCACGACAGACAAAAACAAACAGAGCGAAACAAAAGCAGACCGCAGATGCAAATTTCATGCAAAGAACAAACTTCTTAAAGTCATAATTCCTATAATGCAGGTTATGATGATGAAATCTGTCACAATACACACTGATCATGATGCAGCCGACACTCGTTATGCATCATTTATAAATCATAAAGAATCACTGAAAGGGATAGTTCCCCTGAATGATCATCATTTATTCACCCTTCACTCATTTCAAAACCTCACATACTATTGAAGCAAAGACTATAGAGATTTACAAAGACTGTTCACTCACATTGGGGAAAAGAGCTAAGAACTGTAAAAAAAAACAAAATAAAATAAAAAATAAAAACAAGAAATCTGTAAAAATTTACTGTAAAAAAACGGCAGCTTTTACCGTAAGAAATACCACACAAACTATAAAAGAATATTGATTTTTATAGTAAAAATTACTGTGGCTGTCAGTATTTTACTGTAAATAAAGATAATACAAACCAAAAAAAATATATTAAAAATATCAAAGTAAAATGACTGTGGTTGCCAGTATTTTATCATACAAACAAACAATATTAGAAATTATAATATTATAAAAGAATATTAAATTGTACAGTAAAATTACTGTGGATGCCAGTGTTTTACCGTAAAAAGTTAAATACAAGCCATATAATAATATTAAAGTTTTACAGTAAAATTACTGTGATTGCCAGTGTTTTACCGTAAAAAGTTAGATACAAACCATAAAAGAATAATAATATTTTACAGTAAAATTACTGTGGATGCCAGTGTTTTACCGTAAAAATTAAATACAAACCATATAAGAATATTAAAGTTTTACAGTAAAATTACTGTGATTGCCAGTGTTTTACCGTAAAAAGTTAAATACAAACCATATAAGAATATTACAATTTTACAGTAAAATTTACTGTGGTTACCAGTATTTCATCGTAATAAATACAATACAAACCATAAAAAACACATTTTTACAGTAAACTGCTAGTACTGCGTCAGCCAGTATTTTACTGTAAAAAATATGATACAAATCATAAATTATACAGTAAAGTTTTACAGTAAAATTTACTGTAGTTGCCAGTATTTTAACATAAAAAACTAATAAAAACCATAAAAAAATATTAAAATTCTTACAACAAAATTTACTGCGGTTGGCAGTATTTTACCTTAAAAAATAAAATTAAAATTAAAAATTATTTTTTTACAGTAACATTTCCTGCGACTGCCAGTATTCACTGTAAAAAATATGATCCAAATCATACATTTTACGATAAAATTTACTGTGGTTGCCAGTATTTTACCATAAAAACAAACAATACAAACCGTAAAAAAGAATATTAAAATTCTTACAACAAAATTTACTGCGGTTGCCAGTATTTTACCGTAAAAAATAAAATTCAAACCATAAAATAAATTAAAAATTTTACAGTAAAATTTACTGTGGTTGCCAGTATTTTACCGTAAAAAATTAAATAGAAACCATAAAAGAATATTAAAATTTTACAATACTGCGGTTGCCAGTGTTTTACCGTAAAAAATAAAATACAAACCATAAAATAAATGTATAATTTTACAGTAAAATTGACTGTGGTTATCAGTATTTTACTGTAAAAAATACAATACACACCATAAAAACTAATTTTTTACAGTAAACTGCTAGTACTGCGACTGCCAGTATTTTACTGTAAAAAAATTATACAAATCATAAATTATACAGTATAATAAAAAATAAAATACAAACCATAAAACAAATTTAGATCGTTACAGTAAAATTTACAGTGGTTGCCAATATATTACCGTAAAAAATACAGTACATATGATTAAAAAAAATCAATTTTTTTACATTAAAATTTACTGCAATTGCCAGTATTTTACCATTAAAAATACAACACAAATCGTAACATTTACAGTTAAATTTACTGTAGTTGCCAGTATTTTACCAGAAAAAAAACAATACAAACATCCTACTATGGAAGTCAATGGTTACCCGTTTTCAGCTTTCTTCAAAATATCTTCTTTAGTGTTCAAATTCATAAACTCGGAAGCACTGAGTACTTCTCGAAATCACAGGGTGAGTACATTTTCATTTTTAGGTGCACCACTATTTCAGTTGAAGTAAATGATAAGATAGTTAAAATTTTGGATGAACTGGCCCTTTAAGACTTCATATAAAACCTGATTGTGTGTCAGCTCGTCATTGAGGCGTATTTTAGGCAAGGACAAAAAAAAAAAATCTCTTTTTAAGTCCTTCGATTGGCAAGAGAAGCAGTAGTTAGCAGTCAGCAAAGCGCTCGCTAACAGACTCCGAACAAACAAGACATTTCTGGAGAATCAATGCAAATTAATTCACTAATATAATCCAGATGGCGAAGCGCAGAGGTGGTGTTTTCAGAGGCGTTCTGCTACCGGAGATACAGCTTTTCTTGTTTCATGCATGACTGGACGGAGGTTGAAGATGGAGAAATCATATCTCAGAATGTGGACATTTGTGGACGCTTTTCCCATGACAGCGCAGTGATAATACCCTGATATCGGTGTCA